TATAGTATATATATATATAGAGTATATATATATATAGAGTATATATATATATAGAGTATATATATATATATACCATATGAGCCCCAGCCCCCACCCGGCCACCCCCCGGGCCCGCCCCCGGCTGCCCGATGCCCGCCCTGTTCTCTTAAAAAATAGTATATTTGTTTTATAAAATAATACATAAACTTGCCCAAAATACAACTCTTAGGGTTTTAGGATTGACTCCTCTCTCCTTTTTTATAAGTCCTATGACTCCTATCATACGGCGTTGGAATATTTTTTAGATCTTTCGTCGGTTCAGTTTTTATTCATTTACAACCATGTTTTTGTTTTGTTTACTTTTTTTTAAACAAAAAATCGAATAGTTAATACTGTTCGCCTAAGCAGCCTAAATAAGTGCAGCCAAACGGCCAGTGGGCCACGCATTTTGTTTTTGTTTTAAAGGCCAGTGGGCTACGCATTTTGTATTTGTTTTAAAGGCCAGTGGGCCACAGATTTTGTATTTGTTTTAAAGAAATACAAAGGGTCGAGAAATGGAGAACGGAGAAAGGAGAATGGAGAAAGAAATAATGAGTATGCCAAAAAGTAAAAAGTGTACGTATTTGTTTTTAGCCTTTGTTTAAAAAATATATATATACCGTCAACCGTCGTCCAATGCAGATCTAAAATTAAATAGAGCCGAAGAAGGGATACCTTGCGTCTGGAGTTTAGTCTCTTGTCTGGAACAGTCACCTGACCGAGGAACATATACAAATAAACGATTATTATTTTCAACGGTTTATCACGCATATATTATTTTAGAAATACAAATATATGTACATATTTAAAATTAGGAATAATAATTTTTTTATAAAATATGCCATATTTATGAAAAATATATGGCATATTTATTTCATATTTCATATTTTCCTAAAAATATATTTCGTTCATTTTTCATATTTACTATTTTTCTAAAAATATATAAATTACATATTTATTATTTCTCAAGTATAATTACCTCATATTTATTTATTTCTCCTATATTTCCACATATTATACTTTTAAGAGCATATTAATATTATGTATTGACTATGATATCTAAACACGCATTTATATAATGTTATTATTCTGAGTCATAGAACTCGACAGAGATCATTTAACAGTGAAGCAGGAAGATGTACAGATTAAGCTGCACTTGAATACTGTGCACTGGGGTGGCATACTTCGGCATGTGGGCTTATATTGCCACTGTATATAAGTCAAATAAACTAACGATCAATGTGTTTGACTTGTGTATATAATATATGTGATTGCTTGTCAGTATTTCAACACCACAAGTATAAAACCGATTTTTTTTTTGCCACTTTTTTTTTGTTCCAGAAATCAATCAATTTTTCAAATTGGTAACAATTTGCCACCTTAATTGAAAAAGGTGGTCAACATGCATCGATCGGAAACAGCCTAAATTGCAACTGACGCTATACTACTGCTACAATAGCTCGGAAATTGGTAACAGGGCTCAAGGACAATACTATTGATAGGTGTGAACAATTATTTGTATGCCTGTGAATTATGAAGTTCACAATGTCCCTTTTGGCAGGATATGTGACAAGTGTGGACTAATATTCCTGTGACCAGGATGCGCTCAGGAGACAAAATATCGAACTGGCATGTATTGTGAAAAAGCGTTTTTCGAGTATCACCCGATTACAATGGTGTCAAAAAGAGTGTCCAACGTGTGCGTTTGTAATTTTTGATGTTATTTCGTCCTATTTTGGTATAGTTTAAATTACAGGGTCTTTCACGCATACTTGCGAAGTTACACAACTATATATATGTAAATATACGTCCATGAAAACACAAATATATATACACAGACA